CAAGACCTTTAAAAAACTCGTTTAAACACGTTAAAGGTTCGTAACAACGCCGTTTAAACGAAATGTGGTTGTTAAAACAGAGTTATGACGAAATTTTAAACAAGTTAAGACACGTTAAGCAATCTTCAACTTATTAAGACGTAATTTTCTCGAAACTTACGTGTTTTTCTATCGGTTTCGCTAATCATTTTACGAGTTACAACGCGTTCACAGGACTCAATAGATTTTAATGGAATAATATCTCATACGCAACTTGATTTATTATTTTTTTCTTTTGATACTAGTTTACTGTGTTCAATATCAGCTCATTAGAGTTCGTTTATTTAGCAGAATTGAGATTTTTATTTTAATAGATTATCTCATGAAATTTAAAATAGAGATTACTAAATCCAAGGTAACATGCTCAGTATTTATACAACATGTGAGTACATATTCATGTTTGAACTGATTTCTGAGCAGATGAGAAGATATTTATAAATTTTAGAACAGAAAATATTATTGTAAAGGTATTTTCATATGTTTATTTTTTTTCAAACACAGTGCATTCTATTTAGCAATTTTCATTTATTCTTCTTCAATCTAATTCATATTCAATTATAATTTGCTTATACAATAGATTTATTATCAGTTTGTTGTATCACGTTTATCGATACTTGTAATGTAAAGAATTTAAAGTCAACAATGTAAGTTTAAATAATCCTGATTTAATATATAACAAGAAAAAAATACGAGAGCAAATCCATCTGAAACATACTACATTTACATCGAAGTTCGGCGCCAGCAGTGGGACCTAGTGTGTCTTGCAGAGAATTTTTTTCTGATTAAAACGTACAGACTGAAAAATTGAGTACTGATGCGCTACTTGAGATAAAGGCAAAATACTTTTACGTTGATAGTGATGGCATCTATCATATTTTTCTGATAAAAATGACTTTTTTGATGCTGCCTTAAATGAACTATTCCTGCTTAGTTTCTATCTTATATCGGCATCAACCTAAAGCGTATAGTTAACCGCTTCATTCGTGACAAGATCATCTGTGCTATACCTGCCTGTGTTGAGAAAATCAATATCGAACGAAGCCTATTTTTCTCTTACTTAATTGATTTTTAGTAATCATGAACAGTAATATTTCTGAAACAATACGTATAGAAATAGTTTTTTCGGAGTGAATAGATAGTTTTAAAGGAGAAAAAGTATTCAGTCTTCTATGTGATATTGCAAAATGACATATTAAAGTTCATGTGATATCTTCACTATGTTTATTGTCCTAACATCTGCATTAATGAAAATAGACAACTTTAATATGTCCTTTTGCAATATAGCGCAAGCATCTGATTAATTTTCCTCTATGAAACTATCTATTCAATGAGAAAAACAAATTTTATACACATTATTTCAGTGATATTACCCTCCATGATTAAAAAAAATCAATGAAGCAAGGGAAAAATAGGCTTCGTTCGAATTTGATTTTCTCAACACAGGCAGGTATAGCACAGATGATCTTGTCACGAATGAAGCGGTTAACTATACGCTTTAGGTTGATGCCGTTATAAGATAGAAACTAAGTAGGAATAGTTCATTTAAGGCAGCCGCATCAAAAAAGTCATTTTTATCAGAAAAATATGATAGATGCCACCACTATCAACGTAAAAGTATTTTGCCTTTATCTCAAGTCGCGCATCAGTACTCAATTTTTCAGTCTGTACGTTATAATCAGAAAAAAAATTCTCTACAAGATACACTAGGTCCGGCCGTTGACGCCGAACTTTGTGTAAAAAGTGGTCTGTTTCAGATGGATATGCTCATGAGTAGAGCAATCTAATTTTTTATTCACAATATAAAACAAAAGAGTATTAAAGAATTGAAGATAATGTTCAAGTAGATTCTAAAAGACTGGTAAACATTTCAAATTCATATCCATAATACTTTTTCAACGGAAAAAAGTTTAAATTATCTATGAGATACATAGGTATCGAATAGAAAAACGAGTTTTAATCCGTTTTACTTGTCTGACTTGTATAAACGGTCTATCACATGCTTCTAGAATTCTTACTCTATCTAGAAATATTCGCTGTATTATATAACCTTCTTCTGAATAGTTTCGTAAACATTCTAACGTTGATTTGAGTAGATAATGAGGAACAATGAAAAGCGACTTTAATGTGGCAATGATAAATCATTACATTAACATATTTTTTCGTTCAAATTCATTCCTTTTTATGCTTCTTTGTTTTTTCTTAGATTTCTTTTACTCAGTCATTTATATTTTTTCCACTCGAGCGTGTTCATGATATTATTTCTTGCTTTATAATCTATTGCGCTGATTATTGCACAGAAACATCTTTTTCATGAAGATATATTTTTTTCGCATTAAGTCAAGATAGGATCAATATAACCAATTGAGAAATATTCGAGCTTAAAGAATAAGACATGAGTTGGGCATTTTAGCTAGTTTATATTCCTTGTCTTTCCTTTACTTTGTCTTAGACAATCTGGGTGTGGGCGTTCACCTTCTCATTCACCCACGCACACACCCTAGGCTGATTCTGTTATCTATGTGATACGGAGATCGAAACTGAATTAAATCCAAATGTAGATGCCGTCGAAACGGATTAAATCAATGAAGATATTTTTAGGGCGGTCAAATCGTATCTAGATTTTTTTAAGGAACCCGAATCGAATCAACTCAAATTTTTTTCTGCACCGGCTAATTGAATCGAGATTTTATCATTCGTTTTAGTCTCTGAGGTGGTAAACTCGACTAAGCGCAATCAACAAGAACATAGTGAGATAGTAGAAGTTATTTGTATCTAGTATTTCGCAGCGTTTCTAATGGCAAGTGTGCATAGAGAGGCAAAAGATGAAGAACATTTGTTCCTGCTGAAATACACGCTGATGTACACTTTCTTTAACAAGCAGAGTGTACGGTATAGACTTTGCAGAAGAAATTAACACCTTCTTTCTTATACGTTGAAAGCTATTTTGAATTCCGAAAAAAAAAAATTTTCACTGTATGTAGAACGCGATCAATGAGATAAAAACTGCACTGACGTTTGCTGAAATGACATGAACCCTGTTTTTTTTTATTATGCAATAACTGCTATCCTAAGATCCTAACAGTATCAAAGATGAGAAGAGTGAGACATAAAAACAAAAAGAAAAAAAAAGGACACAGAAGGTACAAAAAGCAGACAGGATTCTACATGAAAAAATGCTGAAGAAAGAACAAGGAATAATGAGAAAAACCACATCAAGGATGAATACAGAGTATAAAGTAGAGAACAAATAAAAGAAGAAACGGATACATATACATGACAGACTGCACAAGCAACATGAACACTGTTATATTTTGTATTTCATTTATAGTTTATGATACTTCTTTTGTCTACATTACCCATCGAAACAAGTTGTATACGTACATTTTGCTCATATAAACAAAGTTTACATATATATATCTTGTTGTAGATTTCCATTATAAACACTGGTCACGATTACCATAACGCAATTCACTACTCTTCAATCATAAGATTCTTCGAAATCTGAACAACGATTTCATTCGGTGGCCTATGATTCTCAGAGCGGGTCAGAATTCATGATAAATTCAACTTTGGTCGAAAATATAAAATGTTCAAAAAAATAAAAAGTAAAATTCTGAAAGAAAGACTGTTTTGAAATATTTTATTATTACACAATCAATATTGGCTTGTGAGGTGTGGAAACGGAGGTCTATTTGAAGAGAATATATCCACACTCTAATTGCAGATTATCATAATAGAAAAAATTCTAGTATTGATTGAAACCATTCAAATACATGGAATTTGATCAATTTTATCAAAGCAGAAGAAAAGCGTGTACAGAATACTGTCCTTCAATGATCTTTCAGTGCATCGAAGCAGAAAAACAAAAGAATAACAGCATCACAAAATTGAATAAACATATTTGTAATCGATATAGTAATTATTTGATTATAGTGTCTGATCTCTTCAAAGATTTGTCATTAATTACAACAAAAACAAGTTATGATTGTTCAATGAGAGCATTATTTAAGGTCGATAAAGTAATGTTTCAAAGTAATTTGCTTGTCTTTCACTTTTTCTTTTTCAATATAATAAAAATTTGATTCGAATAAAGGTACCTGGTTTTTTATTTTTCTGAACAAGAGATTATTCATGAATCGTCAGCTGAGTTTTCGACATTTTTACTTTTGACCAAAGTTCAGAGAATTTGAATTCGACAGCTAGATTCAGTGGACATGTGCCAAAGGAGTCTTAGATACTGTTACGGTGATCGGATCGCCAAATACCTTCTTTTTCTGCTTGGCATCAGGAAAATAAAGGGTTATGCTAAATTGATGCACCTATCACTCTGAACATTAACAGGATTCAAGTCAAAATGAGTAATGCGTACTGAATATTCATTCATATTGAATACGATGTTTGATGTTCAACGATAATGAATATTTGCGATGTTTTATAGTTTAAGAAGATGTATTTGTGTCATATCTTCATCCATGAATAGATATGATGCATGCTCATGTATTGTACCAACATCTTGTCGAATATGGCTCCAAATTTGCTCACGTTCTTCTCTCTCATCAAGGTCATTCATTCAGCCATTTCTTATTTCTTTCAAATAAAACGGGTATTATTCGTTCGAAAGCAAATAAAGCTCGTTGGTATACATATGAAAAATCTGTTGAATAATACATGGACTAGTTGATTATTGTAGATGAATCACTCTGTTCTAATACTTTTTTATGCTTAGCTGATTCTTTGCTACCTTACTTCCAATTAATAATGGCTGACAGAGCAAAACAATATTGATCTAGTGTAATGAATAAGCGAGTCTAGTTTTGTATATATTGAAAGGATTTATTGAAGAAAAATATATATTTCTCTCACAAGCAATATCGTCGACATTTTTACATCAGCTATCATCATCATTCATCGAAGTTTGATTTTCTAGTTTACGAAGAATGTTGTTGTATATCTCACTTCTGATGGTTGCGAATCATGTTGTCCTGTGTGTTAGTCCTGTACGCGAATACTCGATTCGAAGAGATCTAATAGTCGGTGTCAAAGCGCCAGAATTTTCGGTGTACGATAAAAGTGGCAAAGATCTTCAATATCGAATGGAATCTAGAATCACAGGATTACATAAAATAGATCTCATTGCTTATCCGTCAAAGCAAACCGTGGCTCGACTGAACAACAAAATAACATGGTTCCTGTACGAGGCAACATTCGAAATACTTGACCCTGCAACGCAACAGTGGACCACCGGTACAATCAGTCAAAATCTCCGAATTTTGAATCACAGATCTGTTATTCAATGGAATGGAAGACGTCTTTTAATGGAACACAACGTTGCCTCGTTGACGACTCGTTTTCTTGATGATCAACAAGGAGGTCAACTTGTAGCCGAATATCAAGTATCTCTTCCTTCTCTTGTTTGGGCAACTAAGTATTCGCTGCAAATTTTTACTGATGATCTGCCTGATGCTATATTTCTATTTGGTTTGGCAGCTCGAGATTATATTACCACACAGCGAAAACATACATAAAATACAAATGCTAATTCGTATTATTCCTTGAACATCATCAATTCATTTCGGTAATCGGTTAACATCATTTGACTTCATCGGATGAATTTTGATTTTATTGTGAATGCTGCTATTATTAAATCTTTAGCTAAAATTTTCTTTCAAAATAAACACCATATTGCTAATATTTTAAGAAATTCTTGCAGGCATAATTTTCTTTACTCAATCGGCCTTTGACATAAATTAGTATCAGTCGTTATTAATAATAAGAACAATGAAAGTTTAGTTGTTAAATACAGATTTCAACCAATAGGCGTCGCTTATATCTGATGATTTTGACGTACATGACACAGAATAAAACCATTCAATTGTTTAGATTTCAGTGATTTTCAAGGCACATTATACCATGGTCTCGATTCTAAAATAAATACGCATAAAATATGTTCGGTATCGACAAGTTTTTTTTCAAAGACAACGAAGGCACAAAAGATTTCACGAGAGTATCAAAGAAGAACAACGAACGTAAATAGTTTTGCGCGTATGTTTCTGTCCAACTGTTTCCTTCTGATTATTCGAGCTGTTTTATAACATACGACTATCTAAGTCATTCGGGTTAATTTTTCGACACTTGCAGTGAATTACGTAGGTGACAAACACAAATATCATTCGAGAATAAATGCATATAAATTACGATCGAATTCTTGGTGAATTGTATTCGACATTAGCTAGTTTTTCGAACGCAACAATATGTTGAACAAAAGTGAACAATTTTTCCAAACATCTGGTTTTTTCAATTACTGCTGATGAATGAAATTGTCGACAAGAGCAATTCTAGTAGAAATTAATTTATCATACGTACTTGCTTATTTATGATTTTGTTAGTGAGCAATGTTTCATTTGAGAACAGAATGTTCCATCACGATTTTTAAAGTCAAATCGAAAAAGAACAATTTTTTCTCAATTAGTAACTGTTGCTTAGTTTTTGTTAATATCGTCATTAAGGAAGTTGCCTCTAATAGCAATGAAGTCGAATCGTTATCGTAGAGAGGTAATTTCTGTATTTTATCATTTCAGAAAAAGGTCACTGTAATATCATTTGAACGTGCATATTTCAGTGATTATGCATATATGAAAATGACTTCACACGAGTGTGAAGGTATTCGCTTGGGTCTTACCCTATATCGCACCCGTATAAAAATAAAATATAGGGTGGCCCAAAAGTCACTTTACCGAGAAAGAATAGCCCATGTCGCTCATTTTTTATGAATCTCGCCGGGATCCCGCGGGATTAACTTTTCTGTGCGGGAAGCCGCGGGATCTCGCCTATCTCGCAAAAAGTGACGGGATCCCGGCAAAATCATTTTATCCCAAATGATTTCTTGTTCATTTAGTGAAGTGCATTCTACGGTTCTATGTTCAAAATAGATTCGAATTAGAAGATTTGTAGTTTNTTGAAAGAAAGAAATGCTCGCAATGGCGACAACATGCGTGAAAAAGAAACTGTCGTTCTAATGAAAATACATGCTTCACTGCTTCACATCAACATAAGTAAATGAGAAAAAAAAACAGGATTATTTTGATGTAGTTAGATAGAGCATCGATTATTCTATCGAACCATATAGTTCACATTGTATTTCCTTTGGTTCTAGTTCAAAAATTTGATAAATCTCGAAAAGCTGCCAAAAAGGTTTTTTTATCAGCAAGTTTCAGATTATTTCTGAGATAATTTTTTCAATGACTACTATTTATTGGGATGTTGAAACTTTTTATTTTTATATAGAACAATAGATTGTTCTTTTCTCTATCGAACTATATATTTATGGATGGGCTTATTTCATATTTCTACTATAAAATTAGTCAATTTCTCAGAAACGTTTTCATGAACTTTTTCTTTTATAGTTTTCGGTTTTTTTTAAGAGAAACTTTGGTATTTTAAACATCTAATCTTCTTTTCTTTAATATGTACTTGAATAGAGCATTGATTTCTCTGTCATTTACATAGTTTTGATCAGACTTACATTGAATTTTAAAACTAGACGATTGCGAAAAGTAACACGAAATTGGTTCATCATTGTTACAAAAATGGGTCAAAATTTAATAGTCAAGACTATTTTCCTCCTCAATTTCGGATCTATTTTGTTTAATATTTTTTTTGCACGAGGAAATATGATGGATCTTCTCCATCTCAAGCAATTTTTATTATTATTCAGCTTACTGTTGCTGAAATATTTTGCGTGCAAAAGTTTTGTTTAAGTATATCTCGAGCTCTATCAAACTTTTTGAACAAGATATAAAATAAATAAGATAAAAACTATATAATTCGATAGAATAATTGTATTTCTATCCGACTATGTTAAAATAAAAAGCATTCAATGTTTTGAATTTTACATCAAACTGCACAAAACTAATCAAAATAACGTAATCAAGTTGTATATGCTGAACATTCTCAATCGAAGTTTTCTTAAAACTACTTTCTGGTAGTTGGAATTTTTTTTTTCAAATTTAATTTTATCATTAATCTAATACTGTAGGAAGTCAAGTATACTTACATGCAAGATGATACTGGAGTGTACGAGCTTGATGTTGTATGCTCGTTATCTGTTTTATTTTTTATTTATCCTTGACAAAATAATCCTGTTTTTTTTTCTCATTTACTTATGTTGATGTGAAGCAGTGAAGCATGTATTTTCATTAGAACGACAGTTTCTTTTTCACGCATGTTGTCGTCATTGCGAGCATTTCTTTCTTTCAATATTCTCTCTCTCAATTTTTTGCCTTCCTTGGTGTTTCGTATTATTACGATGAAAAAATACGCACTAATATTTGTATATACAAGTGCATTACAATTCAATCTCAAAATTTCCTTCTCATGAGTAAATGAAACAATCGATTTTTCGCTCATAAGAGTCAATCGACAGAATTCTATTGTACAATTCAATGACAAATGATCTTATCTAAGAACTGTCTCCAGTCAGACACGAAAATAATGTGCCAAATCATTGCAATTACCCTAATCAGATATGAAATGAATAATGTGTTTTTTTTCTTTGTTAGAAAATTGCCTCGTCGTTCTTCAGTCATTAATCAGATACAATGGGTTTCAAACACAATTTTTCTAGATAGAATGCATGAAACAACATAAAGTTGTTGTATTTGGAATTGATTATAGCTATTGATTGTAGAAACTCTAACATTATTTGATCATTTTCTAACAATTTTTATCTATTTACAGGGTTCAAAGATCACTAGATTGATATATTCAATTATTTTACGTAGACTTGAAGCTTGGACTACTTTCAATGGATCTATTTATCAGACTTAAGTGTTTCAAATCCATTAAGGTACTATATAGGTGATAATTATGCTGACACTATTGGATGTTATGTCTGTGCTGATAATTCAGTAAGAAATTTTTCATTCTTCTAACATAAAAATAGATGAAATCATATCTTTTATTTTAGACTACTTTGAAAGGATATGGTGAAATGTTAATTTTGAATAAATCGATTGTAAACAGTAAAGTTAATTCTAGAACTATCAAGTGTCAATTTAATTACAGTTTATGGTGAGATTTTATTTAATAGAATGATGCTTGTGTGCCCCTCTTTTAGGTCAACTGAAATAAAAAGAAACCAAATTGTCAAAAATGTTTTATTCTTTAAAACGATCTATATAGTTATTGATCACCAATCATCAATAAGAATGCTTATATCTGATTCAAATATTAATATATTATTAACCATGGTGACATCAATTTAATTAATAATTTTTATTCTTCGTAAACAAGAATCTTAACTCGATTGTGCACGATATTAAGGTTTGAAAAACATTAATTCATCAAATATAGATAAAAATCAAATCCAAGCATATGATGGATGACTTTTTCCATATAAACCTTTGTTTGTTTTAAAAATAATTTTGTGTTTCACAATTTAATACTATATGAATATGATGTTGTTGTTTGTCTTTAAATATTTCTCATAACAAACAACTTCAACCGTGTTTCATTGAAGAAAAAATAAGGATGAAAATCATAACAATTTAGAAAACAAAAGGAAATAACTCTACGATCTATTTCTATATTTCATTGATAGAATCAAAACTTGACTAGATTACGATAATAACACAACGACAACTTCTCTTTTTATCAAAAAAATTTCACCAATAAAAAAATGTTTTCATTATTTTTTATTCGTCAAATCTGTAAACATTTCATTCACTGATGCATAAAAAGTTCATCCGATAATGATCGAACAATTTTTGTTCGTTTACTGAAAAGTTTTGATAATTAAATATTTGTAATATCAACCCAAAGACCAAATAACTCTTAATAAGAAGTCTCTGACTAGTTCATAAAAAACAAGACAAAAACAATTAAAATAAAATTCTGTTTTTATTTCAAACTGATTATGTTTCGAATGATGACAAATACAATTTCATCATCTTTCACTTAATGAAAATAAAAAAAACTATTTTAATAAACAATCAAACAAAAGGTACAGGAAGCTTTTTAGTAATGACAAAACTTTTATTGTCTTTTTATGTGTCAAATTACAGAATGAAACATATCTTTTTAAAAATAGCTTCAATTTCATTTTTGTTGCTCAGACGTAATACAAGCAATTTCACTTGTTTATGGATTTTACTAAATAATAAATCTTTATATCATCAGTTTGAATTAATTTTGTCTTTTAAAAAGTAAGCAACTAATTAAAATTAATAATTTTGTATCAAACAAAAACTTTTTTCGAAGTTTTGAACTTGGCTTGTAATTCATGATTAAGACCGTTGACTGTCAATGATGCAGCAGTTGTATAATTAAGTAAAATAAAAGAAAAACATAAGGTTGAAAACAAAGAGCAAAAGAATAAGTTTATACTTTTTGTTCAACAATAACTTTAAATCATGTTTGTTTCATCACACAACAAACAATATGAAAATCTTCATATTCAATTCATGCAGCATCAATGATTGTTAATCAACTTTAATTGTCAACTCTTGATTTCATAATTACTAAATATTTAAAAAATATGATATTTACCTTTAATTTTTTATCTAATGTTGGATAATTTGATTCAGCATGCATTTTGCGTATATTTAAACATTATACGATAAAGAGAAATATAATAACAGAAGAAGATAAAAATATATTTCTCGGGCAAAATCTTCTAATGATTTAACATCTTTTAGTACTCATCCATCTTTATGAATAACAACAAACTCTAGTAGTAAATACTAAAAACTATTCCAATTTGAATTATCATATAAAATAAATCGATTGAATTTATTTCGATTTGAACAACTTTTCTTTCTCTTACAGCTTGACCCAACTTAATAACTGTTTGTATAACAGTTAAAGTACATTCAATAGTTTTATTTATCAATGGTTTTCTAAATAAATTCTTTATTGAAATTAAAAGCGAAAAAGATTAGGTGTGATTTTGATATCGTTTGAAAATGAACAACTAATTGTCGTTGTGAAAAGAATGGTAAAGATGGTAACTATAATTTTCTTAAGATATTTGATACATTTACTCAACAGGAAATGATGTAAATGGTGCTATCAATTTATCTAATGTTAAAAGAATATAAAAAAGAATATTAAATTAAACAAGATAATCTTCTTATGTGGTTTCACTTTAGAAAATAAAATTCTGTCATTTTTATTTAAATACAATGAAGTTGATGAATATTAACTTAGCTTGGACATAAAGAAATTCATATGAATTCAGTAAGCTGAGAATAATTTGCATAACTATGAGTGAAAGAAGTCACGTTGTCAGAGTATGTTTTCAGATTTGCTATAGATCTGTCCTTGAAAAAAAAACTTTTTATGTTTCCGTATCGTTGTCGATGAGTAGACCTCGATAGGCCAATGCGATGAGGCGTGAAAGGCTAAATTCTAACAGTGCATTTAATTCGAGTTTTTGGGATTCTTCCATGGCTTGTGCTTGTGAAGTAATTGGTTTCAGGCAAGATAGAGTACCCGAAATGATTACACGTGCATTTTCTATGATATTCGTATGGGCGAATGATACATTCGATTCAAATGTTGAGCAACACGTTTGTACTAGTCGATCAAAAGCATGCGTGGTAGGAAGATTTGCGTTTGTCGCCAAACAACCATCGTTGTTCAAAATACGATGTAAATTGAAAAAAAATTGCGCAGTATTCATGTGAGTAGGCATTGCTTCTTCAATAAATGCATCAATAAAAATGATGTCATATCGATGAACTGTTTCGCTCACATATCGAAAACCATCATCTGCCATGACCTATTCGTATAGAAAAGAAAAAAAAGGCGTTAATTTCATGTTGAACAGCAATAGAATGGGAAAACAAACATGCAGACAGCCACTTGCCATCATCTCGGTCAGATCGAAAAATTCAGAAGCTAATTCAATAACCGTCTCGTCTATTTCGACCACATGAATTAAAACTGATGGGAAATAATGTCGAATGAGCATGGGTAAGATGGCACCGCCGAGGCCGATGATAAGTACATGTTTTACTTGTGGTTTACATATAAATGGGACAAAAAATAATTTGATATAAATATCACACGGTCGAAACGGATTCCGCAAGTCGATACCCGACTGCCAGCCTAACCATCCATTTTCTCCGAAATAGAGGACAAGAATGTCATCATTAAATCGCCCAACAATTACATTGTACATGCCAACGGACGATTGACGTTCAGCAAAAATTAGCTGTGGAGGTTCAGAGCCATGATGAACAGTAATACGTTTTGTTGGTGAGCCAGACCAATCAGTGTGCGCTGGGAATTGATCATGAGGCAAGGCAAGTGAACAGGGTGCCAGACGATTATGACCGATGAATGTTACGCCGGGTAGTACGATTGACATTGGTTTGAGAATACAGCTTGGACCAATGATGACAGGTCGAAGTTTGAGACGACGCTGTTCAAAGGTGTGACACTATTCAAATAGCAAAATCCCTGTTATATGACGTTGTTCAAGTGCATGTACTTAATAGCGTACCTGTATTTGAGATGTGAGCGACAGACGGGAATGATTACCGATAGTGATCAAGTGGACGTCGTATACCGTGTTCATATCATCGATAATAACATCGTCACCAATTCGTGTGCCAAATCGTCGAAGGATAAGAACGAGCCATTGCGTACCACCTAACAAACAGCCTGCCCATCGTGTGTATTGAATAAACAGTGTCATTGCTAATGTGGTACACCAATCTTTCTTCGCCTCTTCGAGTGATTGATCACGTTCAGTCTCTCCGATCTTGCCATTCATTAGATGTGTGTAGGCAGCATGAACAATAAATGTGTATATAATTAAAATGACGGGTGGTGCGAATAGAAACAGATTGAATCTGAAAGTTATCTGCAGGCTCAAAATGACTGATGCAGCAAGCAGAAAAATATTGACAAAGTTCATCAACATTTGTTGAAAGTCATCAATGATAGCTCGTTTTGTTGATTGCATAGGTTTTTCTACTGTGCGCGATTGATCAGCGGCTGGCAAAACAAAAGGCATGACACGAGCGGGGACACCAAGAAGAATATCACCTAAATCGCAAAAAAACAACCAACAGAATAGATTTTACCTGTGTATTTGTCAGAGAAACATCGGCAACAAAAAAAATGAATTTCACTTACCTTCCTTTGCATTACTGGTCATTAAATCAACCCGTGTCAAACAACCCACAACAACATCTGCAGAAAGGCGAACGCCTGATCGAATGACACAATTATTACCAAGAAATGACTGACGACCAACTTGAATTTGACCAGCAACGATGCATTGACCATTTGTTGTGACATCATATGGAATAAAGCAAACGTCAGATGCGATCGTCACACCATGTTCGATTACCAGTAGATTTGGTGGCACCGTCAAAAGTGGAACAAAATGTGCGATCTCGATATCATTGGGTTCTATAGAAGCACCAAGCCACCGAAGAATGAACGGAGTAAAAGAATTGAATTCGTCAAAAGCAGTTGACAGACAAGGAGCAAATGAACTGGTAATTAAATGGCGCAACCAGAACTGGCAAAGAAACTGCCAGGAGTTGAGTGAATAGGAGAAGTTATCTTGAATATGGCCAACAATAAATCGAAGGATAAGAAGGCCTACGCTTGCACCAAGAACGGACCATATAAACCAACAGATTGGCAAACTCAAGCACAGCGGTAGCCAATATGCAGCAGACCAACTTAATTTAATAATGAATGCATGTATACTAGCCATTGCAAGGATAGCAACAAGCTGAAATAAAGACTGATCACGACTTAATGCGCATAGAGATGATTCTCCTTCGTGCATTCCTAAAATTCGACCTGTGACAGCTGTCAATGGTTCGCTAAGAACGTGATCACGCATATCAACTCGATCATGAAGAACACATCGAGCTCCTATTGAACAGTGAGATCCAATACGAATCTCATGTAAAGCGTACGTACGATCATGATATGTGAGAGAAGAAAGGATGACTTCGACACCAATATAAGTGTCATCTCCAATCTCGAGAAGCCAAGGTGCATCTATTTGGCTGGAATAAATGTGTGTTCTGTTGCCAATGCACGCTCCACATAGGCGAAGATAAATATTGTAAAATGGAGTTCCTAACAGATGACCAAGCCAATATGTATTGAGTGACCATTGTCGTCTTAGAAACCACAAACAATAGTAACGCCATGAATATAGTGTGTCTTGACCTTGTCGAAAAGGTCCACCTAACAGTTTCATGAACATGGGATATTGCAGTAAATGCATCAATGGGATAAATAGTACTTCAAGAAAAATAAAATCTAATTTGGCTGCCAGTAAAATTGGCCACAGCCATTGCCATGTGAGTACAAAAATGCCAATTGTTTCGATACACCATGACGATTGAGGTCGAATAGAAAAGTCAACATGCTCTTCTTGCTTCTCTTGATCAGGCTCTACATTGGAAAGAACTGATTCTAAAACTGTGGCTAATTCTCGCACAGAGGGGTTTGCAAATAGAAGACCAATATCCATTTTCTCATACACTTCCCGACGAATAAGACTAAGCACATGCATTGCGCCTAATGATGTGCCCCCTAACTGACCAAATGTGTTTTCTACATTCGGTAGCGACTTCAAACGAAATGCTCGAACAAAAATATCTTGTAATTTCGTTTCAAGCGACGACAAAATTCTCGTCGTCTGGTGCTCGTTGGACAACTCTGCAGCCTGCATTGCGATTGTTCCTAATGCATTTCGGTCGATTTTACCATTTGCATTCAGCGGTAATTCTGGAACAAATAACCATTTCGATGGAATCATGTACGAAGGTAAATGACCTCGACAAGCAAAGCTTATTTCCTTTTGAAGTTGCTTTTTTTCATGGTTTTCTTTCACTTGAACATAAGCCACCAAATAGTTATCATCTTCAAATTCTTCCTTCACCACAATGCAATTAATAATATTTGTAGATGATTGAATGATCACTAATTCAATTGCAGATAACTCGATGCGTTGCCCTCGTACTTTCACTTGAAAATCTCGTCGACCAATAAACAAAAGTTCACCTGATCTTAAGTCCAAGCGAGCCAAATCACCAGTCGCATAGCATTGCTCACCATCGATATCAATCAACACTTGGGACGTCAAATCNCACTTCTCTTCATATCAAATGATTTCTCTTCTTTATTGTACATGCTTCTTTGTTAAATAAACTGTTGAATCTTTTCACAGAATTTTTCCGGATTTTTTTCCTCCGGATTTATATTTTCCAAATTATTTTTTTTCCGGATTTTTTCCTCCGGATTTTTTCTTCCGGATTTTTTTTCCGAATTTCGGGACAATACCATTGTAATTATTGATCGTCTTTTTCATACTTTAGCATGTCAAATAAAAATAAAATTATGTGATCACTATCATCTTCTGTTGATTTACAACTTAAAATATTTCATTTTTTTACTTCTGTTAATGGAAATGAGATTTCTATTTTGTTTTCTTCAATTATTTCTACTTCTCTCACTACTTCATCAAATATATATAGCAAGACAGGGCAGAACGAAAAAAAAACGTGTTCTCTGGACATCTCTGCCATATTTCTTTATTCTTTTTTTCTTCAAGATGCAACAAGGCACATTAATACTTGAAGATGGTTCTAAATTCGATGGTTTTGTATTTGGAGCATCAACTAATACTGCTGGTGAAGTTGGTGAGGCTATATTAAATGAATCTCTTTCTTTTTTCTCTTTTCATTGATCTATCTTCTATTTAGTCTTTCAAACTGGTATGGTCGGTTATGTAGAATCATTAACTGATCCATCTTATTGTGGACAAATTCTAGTCCTTACTTTTCCACTTATTGGCAATTATGGTTTGTTTGCTTCTTTTCTCATATCTTTGTCTTAAATCTTTATTGAAAATTGTTCAGGTGTACCCGATGAAAAAGTCGTTGATCATTTTGGTCTACTTCGATGGGTTGAATCAAATAAAATTTATGCATCAGCATTAATTGTTAGTTCTTATACAGAAGAATATAGTCATTGGAAGGCTGTTGAATCTCTTTCATCATGGCTGAAAAAGCATAATATTCCTGCTCTTTATGGTTAGTTATCTTTTTTTAGTGTTTATAGTTATTTTGATAGCAATAATTGTTGATGATAGGAATTGATACACGTATGTTAACTAAAAAACTTTGTGAAAATGGAACAATGCTTGGAAAAGCATTATCTTCATATTTGTTTGCATTTTATTATTTTACCAGATTAATTATGAATAGATTGTTATGAAAGGAACTGATCCAAAATCGATTCCATTTCATGATCAAAATAAAACTAATCTAATGACACAAGTTTCTATTGAAGTAAATCAATTTTTTTATCTTTTTAATTATTTCTTTTTTCTTTTTTTGTTGAATTCTTAGAAACCATGTGTATTTAATCCAACAGGAAAAATATCTATTGCTTGTATTGATTGATTGTGGACTTAAAAATAATCAATTACGAATTTTATGTCAACTCGGTGCAAAAGTAACAGTCTTTCCTTGGAATTATCCTGTTAAACAAGATGGTATTTTACTTTTTAAAATATGAATAATAGTTTATACATATTCTTTTTCTTTTCTAGAATTTGATGGTCTTTTGTTGAGCAATGGTCCCGGTGATCCACAAACTCAATGTTCAGATACGATTGCAACTATAACATCATGGATTAATAGTCAAACTATTAAACCCATATTTGGTATTGGTCTTGGTCATCAAGTAAAAGTCCTAAATAGATTTGTTCTTTGATTATATGAATTAATTTTTAGTTAATGGCTTTGGCTGCTGGGATGAAAACAGTAAAACTTAAATACGGAAGCCGAGGTCATAATCAAGTATGTTTTTATTAAGTATTTTAGAATGTATAAGGATATTTATTTTGTTATTTTCTAGCTATGTTTATTAGGAACAACTGGACGTTGGTTTAATACATCACACAATCATGGTTTTGCTGTTGATAGATTACAAGGTTTAGCTAAAGATTGGAGTACTTTATTTAGCAATCGAAATGATGAATCGAATGAAGGCATTGTTCATGATTTTAAACCATTTTTTTGGTGTTCAATTTCATCCAGAACATTGTGCTGGACCACGTGATACAGAAAATTTATTTCAAATATTTCTTGATGTTGTTCAATCATATAAATCAACTACACCGATTAATCTTAAATCGTATTTAATTGAACAATTAACAAAATCTTTTAATAATAATAATGCATCATCAGAAAATTCTTATCATCCCGTAAGAAAAATATTGATATTAGGTAGTCGCGATAGTTTAATATTTGGACAAGCAGGAGGTTACTATGATGCTGGTAAATGAATTAGATTTTTCTATATTGTTGTAATTAGTTTTCATTTTACAGCTACACAAGCAACTGAAGCAATTAAAGCACACAATATTGCTACTGTTGTAATAAATTCAAATACCGATCTAAATCTAACATAAAAAAGAGATGATTCGAATAAAATATTTATGGCATCAATAACAGAAACTTCTGTTACAAAAGTTATTGAACATGAACGTCCTGATGGTATTTTTCTTAGTTGCGGTGGACAAGTAGCATTAAACTGTGGTGTTGAATTATATAAATCAGGTTTTCTTCAAAAATATTCATGTAATGTATTAGGGTAAGTGAAATGTTTTCATATTTGGATTCTATTTTTCTGTTTGTAATATAATTAGAACACCGATTAAATCAATTCAAATCACTCAAGATCGATCTTTATTTACACAACATATGACTTATATTGAAGAAAAAGTTGTACCATATGAAGTTGTTAATTCTCTTCAAGAGGTTTGATTAAAAAGATTTGAAATATTATCTCTAATGATCTATTTTAGGCATTGAAATCAGCTGAACGATTTGGTTATCCAGTTCTTGTTCGATAGTATGTAGATATTCTGAATACTTCTCTTGAATAGTTGTTCTATCTAGTGATGTTGTTTCACTTGACGATCGTAGATCAAGTTATGCCAATAATCGTGAAGAATTGATTTCTTTAGATAATTCAGCATTAATTGATTCATCTCAATTATTTATTGATAAATCAGTTAAAGGTTGGAAAAAAATTCAATATGAAGTTGTTCGAGATCATTATGATAATTTTATTGTGGTATGTTTCATATGATTCATCTACAATCGATATTCAATTGTTTTTTCTTGTCTTTTTTTCTTGTCTTTTTTTATTTGTCAAGATATGTAATATGGAAAATATTGATCCATTAGCACTTCGTACTGGTGAATCAATTGTTGTTGTACCAAGTCAAACATTATCAAATGATGAATATAGTTTATTACGAAGTGTATCAATTAAAATTGTTCGTCATTTGAGTATTATCGGTGCATGTAATGTACAATTTGCATTAAATCCATTATCTAGTGAATATTATATAATGCGAGTAAATACACAATTATCTCGTTCATCTGCATTGGCATCAAAAGCAACTGGTTATCCATTAGCATTTATAACAGCTGAACTTGCAATTGGAATGAGGTTAACTAATTTAAACAATAGTTTTACAGATGAAACATTTGCTTATTGTGAACCAAGTCTTGATTATGTTGTAATTAAAGCTCCAAAATTAGATTTAAGAAAATTTCTTCGATATTCAAATGAAATTGAAAGTTCTAGTAAGTGATGATATTAACTATTAAAGATATTTCTTTCTTTCTTTATTTTATTTTAATTAGTCGAAAGTGTTGATGAAGTTATGTCTATTGGTAGGTCATTTGAAGAAGCTTTTCAACAAGCTTTAAGAATGATTCATGAAGATGTAATTGGTTTTCATCCATATTCAAGAACAATTACAGATGATGTTATATTAATGAAAGATTATCTTGAATTGTTTTTTATTTTATTTTATTATAGGAATTAAATATTCCAACCGATGAACGTATTTTTCTATTAGCAACAGCTCTTCGTCAAGGTTATACAGTTGAACGTTTATTTGAATTAACAAAAATTGATAGATGGTTTCTTCATAAATTTCAATCCATCATTCAATTTATTGTTCATCATTTTAATTCATCTATTATTCAAAACAAATCACTTTTACTTGAAGCAAAACGTTTAGGTTTCTCTGATCAACAAATTAGTATATATTGTGGTAGTACAGAAGTTGAAGTTCGTGCATCACGTCAACAATTTGTTATTAAACCATTAATTAAACAAATTGCTACAGTTTCTGATGAATCACCAACACAAATAAATTATTTTTATTTAACATATCATGGTAATCAGGATGATATACAGTTAAGTCCAAATAAAGAAACATCAATTCTTGTACTTGGATCTTTTTTTTATGAAATTGGTAAATAATAGAATATGAAATCTGTCTTTTTCTTTTTTATAAATTTGAATTTTTATCTTTAGAAAAATGTCATCAAGTGATGAAGATTTTCGTTTTATGGGAACATTAGATTTAATGAATGATTTACAAGAAAAATCGTTTAGATTAGACGATGATGATGAAGATCGAATTGTTCGAGATGTTTTAAAATTATTAGAAGATAGAAATGATAAAGTACAAAGTCGGGGTGTTGAATGTCTTAACTCGTTAATAGGAAAAGTAAAAGAACGAAATATCAAAATGATATGTGATCAATTATGCTTGAATATCTGTAAAGATATTATACAATTAATGCGCATATCTAATGATTGTTTAAAATCAATTATCAAAAAATTAACAAACAATATATCAACAACAAAAGAAAAAATATTTGGAAGAATTATGACCAATTTCATAAAAGCTGTTGATCTTGAAAATGGTACAACTACAGAAACAATTCTAGACCACATCACCCATGTTGCGAATACCGGATCATTTTTTGCGGCAAACCGCGGTATTTATCCTTCCTGCGGTAAATTACACTGATATGGGAGCCGGTAACCGGACCGGTAAAACCGCGGTAAACCGGCGGTTTTTTGCGCATGTTTATTACATGAAAAAGTAAAAAAAAAGGATGTTTAAAATAACTAAATTGATGATTTGGAACACTTTTTTTGTCGAAGATTATGGACGAACCGGTTAACCGCTTTTTTTTTAGCGGTAACCGCGGTATTATTCAAAACCGGCAGTTTACCGCGGTAAATTCCGGTAAATTTTCACTGATGGAAGCCGGTAAGCGGACAGGTAAAACCGCGGTTAACCGCCGATTTTCATGCGGTTTTTATGACATGGGCATAGATCTATTCGCCACACTCAATCAATATATGGATTGTAAAGAATTCCATGTTCCAATCAAACTCATCGCTGTAGCAACCGTGAATTCATCAGTAAAAATCCAAAAACGTAGCTCTTTATTATTCAAGTATTTATATATATATATAACTTAATCGTATCATAACAAACATTTTTTTTTGTCTATAGTATGATTCCATGTAATGATGTGTTTATGTGCAACTGTGGTAGTGACTAATAATAACTTCTGATCGACGTTCTTTATCATTTAAAATAAAATAATTTTTTGACTTTGTTCTAGCATCTTTTCTTTAACCAATAAAAACACAAATATGATAAACACATCAATTATGCCAGAACCAAAATTTCTATGCTGAATTGTGACATGTTCAACATGTTGTCGAAAGAAACAGCATCTATTTACTCAACAGATTTTTATATTTGTATTTCATAAATCACTGTAGTTATACGTTTGCTAGATACCTTTTCTTATGTCTGTTACTTGAATCAACTGACGATGACACGACACATGAGCTTCTAATAGATGAGTCTTATGACAGTTCAACTCACGACAGATGAGTTCTCGACAATTGAGCCTTCCTCAATCAATAATCAAGCACGATCTGTAATCAATAGTGCATCATCTAGTTCAATACAAGAAAATACATTTAAACATGTAACATTTAAGAGTGTTGATGATTCGTTGGTATTTATATCTATGATCAAGATAATCATCTTTAGAGACAAGACAAACATCTTTTCAAATCAATTTTATTTCATTTATTCATATAGTCTTCATAAATATGTATTTGATAATAGAACTATTATTCATTATCGAGTATAAAATCTTCCAAAAACAATAATTAACTTGTGTTCGATGTGTTTCGTTGTTGTCATACTGATAAATTTCAATCTGTATAAGGTTTTTATAAAAACAATTGTGCTAATAATGTATGTTTCGATGATATAGAATATGTTAAAATAAGAGATCTTGTTCATATATATGATCCTGAATAAACACTTAGACTAGAACTTAACTCAAAAGATTACGATTAGTGCAACGATATGTCGCGCAATTCACTTCAACATATAATTGATAGAGTATTATTAAGTATTAGTAAAGATGATAGAACAACTCGAAAAACTTCATCAATTTAAGAATTCAACGAAGATTTAAAAAGGAAACAGCACACGAACGTGATCATCAGGGCTTCGAATGGGATGAAACAACTTTTAGTTTTCGAAAATCCCATGAGATGGAATGAGATGAGATGGGATTTAATTTTGTCACATGGAATTTTCTTTTGTTTTTCTGATGAAGAAATACAATATGTTTCTGTTTGAAATATAGATTTAAAACACCTTAGAAGATTAACAGATGATAGTATTTATAACACTTTCATTGTTGACCTTGGCCTTTACTACAAACGATTTCGTTTCTGAGTTTCTCATCATGTTCTTTTTTTGTGCAAAAACTTTTAATATAGATAGAGAAACTTAAATAATAAAATGTAAAACTAATTTTGCAGAAAATGTGTGCTTATCAGCACGATAAAAGTCTTTACTATTCTTTTGCCATAATTGTTGATTACATGGGTAAAAAGCTGTAGTAATGAGGATATTATACCATTCTATTTCAATTTATTGTTTAACATGAGTTTATATAAGTATTCAAATTTTAATGAGTTTGAATAGATTTCAGTAATCATAGGCATCATCAAAATCCATCAAAAGCTGAAATAGTCGTTTCTATTGCACCATAATACGAGAGAATCTTGAATAATCCTTAGCAAGGTAAGAAAACTAGATAAACTTATCAGCAATTGAGAATTTATCAGTGAAAAATGTATGGAAGAAAAAGCGTAATACTTAGGGTATACCAAAAGTTCTGATCACAGTTTTTAAAATTTAATAAAGCAATAAATATTGAATATTTTACTAAGGCAATATATAGTATAACGTCTCGTCANGTACATAGGAAAAACGATCCTAATTTATTTGAGTGTATCGATGAAGCTATAGTGTTTACTGATTTTTTGGCTGAAGGGAAAAAGAGCTAACTATTGATTATTGTATTTGTGTACTTTTGTGTATGTATAATCTATTTATAAAAGAACTTTCAATATTCATCATGTTCAGTAGAGTAACTTTATCAAATACTAACGGCAATTATTTTTGCACTCCACTGTATGGTGTTCTGCTATTCTATCGAAAAAACGATTCTTTCAACTATATTTTTTAACAAGCATGCAATTATACGACAAGTAAAATCAAAAAAAAATCGAATAAATATTAAGGTTACCGAGACTTGATGATTTTGGTATATTTCAACTTATATAGGCTTTTTCCGATTTTTTTAATCTAATTTTCCAAAATTTCATGACAAAAATATTGTCTGATTATACCAAAAAAAAATCAGTTTTACAGGTAACTTGACAAGTTGTATCCAACCATGACAAAAAAGCTTTACTTATATTTGAATTGCCAGCATGTTAAATAAAGTCAAAAAATAATGCATAATTAAATATTTTGTTTATTTAGTTCTGATGAAGTCAGTCATCGATTAGCAGTATGTAATATGGATTGGGATCGTGTACGTGCTGTTGATATTTTCATTTTATTGAACTCATGGAAATCACCAGATGGTGTCATTAAATCAGTTACTATTTATCCGTCCGAATATGGATTACAACAAATGGAAGCAGAAAAAAAACTTGGTCCATTACCTGGTACTACAAAACCTATCGTTACTACAGATCAGTAAGATTTATCTTTTACTTATGTTATCTTATTTATTGTTTGTTTTTTTGTATTCTAGGAATGGTACTGATAGTGGTCACCAAAGTGAAGCTGAAGAAGAACCCGAAGAACCAGAAATAAAATCCGATGAAGATGATGATGAACCAAACTTTAATCAAGATGATGATCCAGATACAACTGATCCAATAATGCGTGAACGTTTACGAAAATATCAATTAAATCGTTTAAAATATTATTATGCTGTTGTTGAATGTGATAGCGTAGCAACAGCTGTTCGTATTTATGAAGAATGTGATGGACTTGAATATGAAACAAGTGCTGTTCGTCTTGATTTACGTTTTATACCAGATTCAGTTACATTCGATTCTTCTATTGTGCCGCATGATCAATGTACACAATTACCTGATAAAACATTATATAAACCAATACTTTTTCGTAATACAGCATTAACACAAACAAAAGTACGTTGTACATGGGATGAAACACCTATGGAACGACGTCAATTAACAAAGAAAAAATATACACTTGAAGAATTAGATAAAGTTAATTTAGATGCTTATTTAGCATCAGAGTCTGATGAAGAACCACAGGATGATGATAATATTAATGACGATAGTGATGATGAAAATAATAAAGAATTAGATAATGTAAAGAAAAATGATGATAATATTTTTAAAGTACCAACTACAATTCCAGAAAATTCAAATAAAAACAAGAAAAATCAACCAACTATTCGAGCGCCTAGTGTACTTAGTAGTCAAGATGATATTGATCGTTACAGGTAAATTTTCAAATATTTCTTCTTGTTTTTGTAATAAAAATTTTCTTTAGAGCTTTACTTTTAGACTTTAATGATAATCCAAAAATGGATAAAAAACCAAAAAAGAAATTAACAAATTTTTTTGATGAACAAAATAGTGATAATGAAGAATCTAATCAGTATATTGACGACGATGATGATGATGCTAGTGATATTGATATGGAAATAACATGGCAACCAGGTTTAAAAAGTAAAGTTGAAGAAAAATTAAAAAATTCTAATAATCAAAAAGAAAAAAAGAACAAAAAAAAACAAGACAAATCAAATCTTGTCAAAGATCAAATAGAACAAGAGAAAGATAATTCAACTGAAAATGATCGTGAAACACTTGAATTACTTACTGTTGATGATGATATTGACAATAAACGTGATTATAATCTTCGTGATATGATCAAATCACATAAACAATCAACTAAAGCTGCAGCTAAAAATGCTAAGAAATTTAAAAAATTACCAAATAATTCATCCAATTCAATCGAAACAAAAACTAATAATGATGATTTTCAATTAAATCTTAATGATAAACGTTTTCAAGCTGTTTATACGCGACCAGCATTTAATATTGATCAATCTGATCCACATTTCAAAGCCACAGCTGGTACACAACAACTTATTGAAGAAAAATTAAAAAAACGAAAATTTGATAATTTAACTTCTTCATCAAGGACTGAACCTGATGAAGATGATATTGTTGTTAAATTAAAAAGAAAATCAGCAAGAAAAGATTAATATAAATAATAATAATCTTCTGTGTGCTGATAGGAATTTTGTTTTATCATTAATTGATAAAAAAAAATATATATAAAAAGAAATATATCGGCGTGACACAATGTGTCATAGAATTTCATTTTTTTACATTGTAATATCTGTATCACCATCATGATAAAAGCAAGCACTCTAAAATTTTAATCTATTAGACCTATGTACTAATGTAGTCCTTTGGTCTAAAGGTCAGCTTGAGGAATCGTTTGTTTAATCATTTCTCCTGACACACAACAGATCATGGAACAGAATCTATGAAAAGATTGAAAGAAAATATATATACAAAAAAATGTGATATAAGCTTTTGAAATTTATATATTTCACATGGATGATAACAGGTAAGTAACATCTTTAAAGTCTATTAAACACTCTAATCATCAAATTCAGAACTGCTATTTCCGGTATTTTTGCTTAATAAAAATTATGAAATGTTATTGTCTTCTGACGTATTAACATTAACATGTTCATCTTCATTTAGTTTTTTGTCACCTTCTCTGTGATGCTTTGCATTCTTAATATAATGTATAGGTTCACTTGGCACAGGATCATTGTTGATAAGCTATTCCAACATCTATGAATCAGTATACTTTTTTTTATGATCATCTCCTCTGATAGGCATCATGTTGAACAACATCGCTGGTGAAAATTCAGTTTGTAAATTAATCTTGATTTTTTTTATAACTACGCAAATAAAAATAATTAATTAAATAGCTATTGACAAAATTTAACTACTATGTATAAGTAAATATTCAAACAAGAAAAATATAAGAAATATGTCATAGTGATATAAAAATATCAAGATAAGATAAGTGCCTGACGTTTTTCAAAATAGGATTAATTGTAGCAGGTCGTGGCCACTATATGGCTATAGTCATGACACATAATAAATATCGTTTATTGCATATAAGAAATACAAAAAAGCAAATAAGATCAAAATTGAAATCGGAATTTGAGACTAAAATATTATTGAATACTGAGCATTATGAAACATTTTTTGAAGAAATTTTGACCAACATTTAAGTTGCAGAAAACAATTTGAAACATCTATAAGTCGACTCAGTTTTGTGTGCTGATTTCAAGAATGATATTTGCTGAAAGTTAAATCAGATTTCTTCTGCTCAAGAGCCATCAGATATAAGTTAAAAAAAGACGCAAATAAACTCTCAAGCATAGTTCCTAGAGTAAAAGTGCTTTATTAGAGAGTGAATTTCAAGCTAAAAATAATAACATCAGAAAGAGTACATATAATTTACATATTCGATAAAAATATATCACTGATGTACCTATAGAAACAATAACGTCATAAGGCTGAATAAATCATTACTTGTGACAATAGAACTCGGTCGAGGCGGTATTCTGCGTTTGTCGATAGAAAAAAATCTCATATCCAAAAAGTTCTTATAGATTCTGACAGAAAAAGAAACTTTGCATCAAATGATCTATTTTCGACAAACCTAAATCAAAATTTAATCAACCTTCAGATCAAAAACTGATTTCTACAGGTTTCAAGGAGTACTCCAGATCTTATTTATTATCCAAGTGTTTTTGAAAAAATATGGTATTTGTAATCAGCATACTTTACACTATCAAACCATAAAGACTTGTAATAGAACAGCAACAGGAATTTTCTCAAAACTTGATAGGAATCCGAGGTATAAAAAAATGAGTTGTGATTAAACACAAAATAAACTCGCAAAAAATAATCAGAGTTCAATGCTAATTCTCAGGATAAAACTAATCTTAGACTGTTTGAAACGTTTGATCTATAATTCGAGACACATCATTTTTTGCAAAAAGTTAAAGTCAGATTTTTTTGATAAAATACTCCATTTTGTTCAGAATTCGATGATAATTCAAAATATATGTATATTGATGAACCAGAACAGTATAAAACATTAAATAGTTTTAAAACATCACAATTTTTGGATACTAATGAAATTCTGTAACACAGTTTTTCGATCAAACAAATATGAAAATTAAATCAGACTATTTAAAATCGATGTATTCAATAGATCTTGTTGATTTACAGCTAGATTAGTTATTTTTGTTGCGAAAACTAAAAGTATAAGCAAACAAAACATATTATAAGCGAGTTTTATGACTTCATATTCTATCGATAAATATCTAATTGAGTTAAGAAGCCCGGGTATTTGCAACACAGCGGCCAATCTGGCCGGCAATAGCTAGACCAGGCGGAAGTTATTCGTCGGACTCATTTGTTTTAGAAGTCAATAGATAATGCATTACCTTAATATTCAAGAGTATTTCGATTAATTCATTCGACTTCAGCAAGAACTGCTCAAACTGAACGTTAGTATAGTGTTGTAGGGCTTACATAGGCTAACAGAAGAACTTATATATATCCAAAACAATCGGATAGTAAATTTTGCGTTAATACTGTTGCGAAAATTAATTGTCAAATCTTATTCTCCTTTTCTGTTATTAAAAGTATCAGTTATTCCTTACAGTTTCGTTGTATGCTTCAGTATATGCTGTTTTTATTATCATGTGATTACATTTTTTCGATTATGCGAAATAGAACGTATATGATCGAAAACATTGCGTTAATTCAAGACTTTCTTGTATGAAAAATACTTATAATGTGTGTCTCTTTGTTTTAATTTGCTTTTTCATGCAAGAACTTGTTATTATTGTATCTGCATAGAAATACATTAAGTGAACAACTGAAACTAGAATAATACATTAATGCTGAGTAATACAATTACACGTATTCGAAAAATCAGAAACATCAATCAGCTTGTCTTAGCCTGGAGGCCAGAAAAAAAAAGTGGTCCATTGACAGCTCTAATCTCATACATTCAAGACTTTTCAGGAAAAGAAACACTTCTATTTCACACACTATCGATAGTGCTAATTCCTATGGTGGACTCAGATTTCTGTACTCTTGAGTCCGAAATCTACCTGTGTGGGTGGTCAATAGTTCGTCATGGTGATAAGTTATACTATCGTTATAGAGTCAATAGGATGATGGAGATAAATATCTTTTCCGATAATTTAAGGAATATTTGTTTTTACGATACCGAAACAAAGAGCCTAAATAAAAATAATTTTAGAATTTTCTTAATCTCATTAAGGCTCACTTAAGTTCAGTAAAGTGTAATCAAAAGCTCAGATTCACTTAGCATATTTTCCTCGTGAGTAGAAACAGATATAGACAATAGTTATTTAAAACTTTCAATCATTTGAATCATGGATTTTATGAAAGCTTTCAATAGAAAAAAAAGGATGACTCCTCCCATTAGAAATATATATATTTTTTAAATGTTTTGCCGTTTCAACAATAAGTTTAAGAAATAGCAATGAATTTATCCATCTAGTTTTTTTCAATTCTTGTTGTATATGTTTATATTTATAGGTATCATCCTGTTGTTATCATTTCTGTTCTTGTGAAACAAGAGGAGAAATAAAAATTTAATAGACAAAAAAAAAAGAAAAAGTCAGCTCATGATTAAATGATAACATATATTGTCAGGATGAATAAAACAAACATGTGAAAATAAAAGAATGAAAAAAAAAAAGGACTAAGAAAGTTTCTTCGTTTTACTAAAGAGAGTATCAACCACTTTTGACATATTTTGAATAATCACCAAGGCATCTTGATATTGTGTATCCGATGGTGTTTCATCGAAAATAACTATGTTAGATGAACCTTGATCAAGAATACCACTAAGTTTCTTATCTAAAATCATTTGAGAGAGTTTTTTCTCGACAACATCCTACAAAAAAACAAATATTATTTTCTTCTTTTTGCAATCAAATAAACATACTTGAGTTAAATTAATCAAATGTGCAATATGTTCTATTTGAACATTAGAAAATGGTTCAAGAAGACGACAAAGATTTTGTTCAAGTAAATTATCATACAATGTACCTAAATGTGAATGAACCATTGGATCATCAGATAATTCAGTTTTATAATCTTTTAATGCCTAGAAAAAGAAAATAATAAATTTAAACAATTGGCTTTTTGTTTTGTGTCACTAATGAAATCAAACCTGCTGAAAATCAGCTAATGATCTTTTTTTACTTGCTTGTGCAACTGCTTTCATTGCATCAACATCTCGACCACTATATTTAAGTGCTAATTTAACTGACATAAGTACATTAACATCATCCGGTCTAAAGTTATTAGAAAAAAATATATTACACTAAATATTTGAATTAACAAACATACGTATTCATCATCACTTTTGATAATAACATATATTTAAGTGCAACAATACCCTTATTACTATTGATTTGATCATAACCTTCAAATGCTTCATAAAAATATGAAAATGCTGTTTTAAAATCTTTATCTTCAGCAGCATGAAGAATACCTTTTATTACACAAAAAAAAGAGTTTCTTTTATTCAAAATTACATAAATATTTACCTGATTGTAAATCAAGACTTGCTTGAAGTTTTGGTGGTGTATAAATTCCATTTGCTGTTGTTCTTGCTGATGTTAATGCAGCTCTATTAAATAAAAACAAGTAATTAAATTTTATTGAACCTTATAATTAACTAACCTTGCTTTTTGTAAATTACTCAAAGCAAAATATGTTTTACTTTCAAGTAATTGAACTTCAACAAGTAATTGTTTGTCATCAAGTTTTTTTAATTCTTTAAGTAATTGCGAACCAAGTGTCAGTGCTTCATTATATCGATGTGTATCATAATATAAAGCAACAAGACGTGCCTAAAAAGAAGAAGAATTTTTATTAATATTAAATATAATAGAAAATGATTATTTTTACTTCAAGTTCTTGTCGAAGAAATGTTCGATTTTCACTTTTAGCCCATTCAATATTTTCTTGGCATAATGAAACCTATAAAAATCATATATATATATATATATATATATCACTAGAGCTGGTCTGATCTGAATCCGAAAATTTTGGACTCAACGGACTTTGATCGTCCGGGAAATATGTAGGATGTGCTTGTCATCAACCAAAACAAAAACTGGAAACAGTATTTCGTATCTTCGAGGCGACTATTCAATTCTGATAAGAGAATTCCATTGAGAGTATTAAAGTACAGTTCTACCGGGTCTGAAATTTTAGACTCGATGGGTTCTATGCGTCACAACTGACATGAGAATTTAGTTAAATTCGAAGTATGCGCACGTATAGTAAAGAATTTCTTCAAGTAAAATATCTTTATTTTAAAGATAAAGTTTGATAAACAGTATGATATAATTCACTTATACAAGAGTGCTCGAAATAATACTCAAAGAAATTATAATCTATGTGATTCGAAACAGATAAAAACCACCGATAAAATGTGTGCTATACTGGCGGTACTCTGATACTTAAATGATTGATTATTCCTTGACTACCACTCCATTGCAGTATATCGATCAATCTACTGTCGGTTCTTATGAGGACCGCGGTAGTACGAACCAACATAAGACATGAAAAATAAAAAAAAAACAAAGAATAAATGTCCTACTATGTTTCTAATTAGTTGGTTTATAATAAGATATGATGCTATGTTGTAGAGTTCAGTTTTTAAATTTATGCGATTAAGTGGTATTTACTACATGAGCGATTTATGCTTAATCTATTTATTGATTTGAATCTTATTTAACAATGATCCTTGCAATAAAATATAAAAGGATTAAACACATACTGTGACCGATGTTCTTGAATGAATATTTTGGAGTGCCGGATTTGATCGAAATTTTAAATCTTTTCTTTATGTACTTATTGACCTGTGTATGATCTCTGTTAAGATATTAGTATCAGATCACAAATCAAAAGTGTATTTTGCTGGTGAAAATTTTCTAAAGAGCTTTTCGACTTTTTTCACTTCAATCTCTTTGCATTTTGGTATTTGTTCGTTTCGATATCTTCATTTTCGACCAAACTAAGACCAACCTATATGTTTATTTATTTTTAAAGTCTAATCTTTGTAATGAAATTGATTTGTTTTCTAATACTGAGAATCAATTGTATATTGATGAACTTGATGTAAAACACCTAGCACGAAGAATACAATTCACTCAATGTTTTCTTTAATGTTGTTTCATGTGTATAGCAAATAGTTGTTATACTGTAGTACGAAAATCAATTGCCATTAATAACAGCTCAAATAAACTTTTTTTTTTCAAACCCTGCTCCTGTCTAGTCTACAGAACAAAAAAAAAACCTTTACTACTCGTGAAACTATTTTTGCTTATCCTCATCATTGACATATAAACTCAAAAAAAAATACATCGACTTATCGATAAACAAGTTTTCTTATTCATATTGATGGTATTTTTACAGGTTATTTACTAAACAAATACATGAATGGTGTATTCTTTTTTTTTACAACATCACTAAATATTATTCCAATCTCAAATAGATTCTAAACATTAAAAAAAAGATTTGACATACTTCTTCACCAGTACCAGCTTCCATATCAAGAAATAGATCAACAAGAGTTCGTACAAGCTTAGCTGCTTTAGCTTTGCTTACAAGACCAAGAAATGGACGTGTTGTTTTTATTAGAGATGCTAATGCTGAAGAAATAAAATTAATCTGTTTTTTTATTTTAATACAAAAAAAAATATTTATATACCTTTTGCATCTTTTGTTTCCTTAAAAAGTTTTCCAAGAGTAAGTATAGCTGTTTCTTTAATTCGTACTGAATCTTCATTATCAGCAATAACTTGAAGTTTAACTATTAGAATAAAACATGCTTGATTCTTTTTATTAGTTAATATGAAATTTTACCTAATTTTTCAAGCAATTCTTGAGCCGATTTGTAATCTTTTCCAGCTAATGCTGTTTCAGCTTCTTCTAAATCAACTTGTTCAGGTAATTTTGGTTTTTCATCTGCCATTTGTTGTACACTATCATTTGTTGTTATACCCGGCATTGAATTTTCTTTAAATATCTACAATTCTAAACATATATTTTGTCGTTATCTACCAGTCAATTTATTTATTTTATTTCTCTTTAAACTGTATCAATCAACTATGAAAAACAAATACATGTATCTAGATAAAAAATAGAAAGGACAAAAAAATATTTTAAAGATAAAATGGCATGTCATTTGTTGATAGCCAACAGTGTTGCCGAAGTATTTCATTTATAATAAAACGATTTTGTTTTAAACAATTTTCAGCATATAAATGTGCTCGAAAAACTGTTTGAAGATCATCAATACGCGTACATGTTTCAGATGTTATTGATTGACTACGAAGAATTAATTCTAATAAGGATAAATAAGCCGTTGTTGCCTAAAAGATAGAATTAAACTAATGAAAAAGATTTTTTTCGCAATTTGTTTTTACTTCATCAGTTATTGAACGATCTGATAATTCTCTACTTATGATTTCAACAATTAAACGTCGATCTGAATCATATAAAAGTGCGTCACTTGTTGCTGCTTGATCACCGAATAAATCAGAAAAAAATTTTATTATTGAATTAGTTGTTTTACATTCAATTGGATCAACTATTTTTTTAAAATAAAATAAAATAAAATAAATTTTCTAGTTTTGCTTTTAATTTCTTACCACTTCGATTAAATAATAAAATTAATCGTTCAATTAATTCTCTACATGATAATTGTTCATTAACAGCTAATAATGTAAGCATTATAGGATTTTCATGGGGATAATCAAAACGTAAATTAAATGATAAAATAAATTTAATTGCTGTTAATATTAATTCATCATCTTCACCATTATTTTCAATTAAATCAAATATACTTTTTAAAAAAACACAATTCGATAATTGACCTAAACATATATGTATAAATGTTCAAAGAAGCAAAATATGATATTTACTGTAAACATGCACCGGAAATAATTCATTTGTTAAAAGTAAATCTGTTAGAAGACGAAGTGCAAAAATCACCGTAGATTTAGTATTATCACCTAAAAATATTTATATAATATATCTTGTTAATTCTATTTTGTTTTACAAGCACAGCATACTCAAAACTACTGTTCAAACATATATTTAAAATTACATACAAGATACTATTTAGTTTGAACCGTAATATAAACATGAACAGAAAAGCAACTACATACACATGCGTTATATTTAAACACCTGTTGAACAAATACTATTAATACTTGTTTGAATAATTCGAATACAATTTGATACTATTGGATGATCGATTACATTTGTCACAGAAAATTTTTGATTTATTTGATATAAAAGATGAACTATGTCACAGAGAATACCATGAGTTTGATTACCGACATTCTAAAAAATAAGCAATATTTTCTTTGAATAAGTAAATAATTAGAATACCGAACCATTCCAGTTAAATTCATTAAATCAACTAAACGAAGTTGTATTTCATTTTGTTCAATTAATTTAGAAAGTAAAGTACAATGAAGATTAACATGAGATTGCTAGAATGTAAAAATCAATAAGATTTTTTTTTTTAATTAAGAATTCAAAATCCAGAAGATAAAACAATCTGATTTCTATAGTCTATGTTGATTATTTTTTCTTTTGTCCCTGCGTTATGGATTTATTTGCCTCAAGCTATTCTTATTCTGAAATAGAACAAGCTAAGAACACCCTCGAACTTTTTTTTTCGAATATTCGCAAGAAATTGATTATAATTTGTTATGACATTGGTAGGCAAACTACAACTCTATTTATGACCTTCATCCATCAAAAATAACTCTGCATCTATAGGGCCGGAAATTCTGTGTTCAATGATTTTCCGGAAATGGATATTACAAAAGTTATGGAACTCAGATCAGACATCCATTATGAAAATAAGAAGTTTTTGTTTCTTTATGAAATGTTTTATTAATAAATTATTTTGATTTTTCCTTACTAATAATTCTCGTAATTGACGAATGCTTTCAAAAAGTGTATTAGCATCACGTCCTAATGTATAATTTCGTTCTTCACAATCATTTGAACATATGCTTATTGTTTCTATTAATTGTCGAAAACGACGAAGATCTGGATGATCAATACTTTGATCAAAACGCTGAAAAAGAAAGAAAATATAAAAATAAAGTCTATTTTTACAAGTTCTTAATTATAAAATTACTTCAACAGCTTTTTCTAAATCATTCCATTGATTATCATTGATGTGTATTTGAGATAAATAAGAAATGAGTTTAGAAGATAATTGTGAACATGTAACATAACTTGAATGTGTTGTTGAATGTATTAATGAAATAATATCACTAACTATTTCATCAGAATGTTCGATTGTATTATCATCATCCTCATTATGATTCATAATTATTGAATCGTTCATAATTAGAATTTCAATAGATTAAAGGATGAAAAAAGAATATATGATGTCGATAAGGTCTTTATAAGCTTGTCACTAAGAATGTTTTTTTGTGCCAGATAACAATTGTAGCGTCATAAGAAGAAAAAAAAATGGCGTTTTATGTAATATAGAATTTGATTGGTTTAAAAATTCGATCAATGATGGTTTTTGTCTTTCTATTTGCTTTGCTTCCTTATGTGATCGCTTGTTTACTCAGTCTGTCTGTCTGTCAACATTCGTTCGTTCGATTAATCGGTGATACAATCAACCTTTGTATTTGTTACTCAATTCTTATTCTTGTTGTCATTCTAGCAATATGGTAGTTCATGATCGTATGTATTGCACGATAAAATACACTATCTATAATTATTTGCTTTTCAATAGATGATGTGAGTCGTTTTGCTGACCGAAGTCGAGAGCTTTGGTCTGAACGAACAATGTCGGAAGTACAGTATGAACAGAACAGTTAGTTGATAGGGTTTCATTTGTTTTTGCTTTTTTCTTTGGAATTGTTTTCGTTTTGTATAGATTCTTATCGTTGTTGTGGAAGTTGTCCATTAGCATCACTATTTGCATTTCTTTTAACATTAATTGGTACAGGTATTTGTTGTGGATGTCTTTATTATCCACTTCAAGCAACAATTGAACGAGTTAATTATGTATTTGAAACAGAATATATTGATTATGATTGGTAGGTTATATAATATAATTGAAATATTCAGTATATTTTTGTTTTTTTTTGCTTTCAAGGATTCGAATTTTACGTTTAGCTATTATTTTTGTTTTGGCTATAATGGGAGGTTTTTCATTGATTTTATTTATTGTCGGATCATTAGCTACAGGTGCTACACGTCATCAAATATATACAGGATTTCGTTCTCGTCTTGGTGGTCGTATTGCAACTGGTTTTGTAAGTTTAATAAAAACAAAGAAAAAAAAGAAACCTTACACAACAAAAGGAAATATGAATTGAATATATTTTAGTTTTCTATTATTGTTTATGTCTTGTTACTCATTTGGTTATTTACTATGTTAACATTAGTTGTACCATGTATTGGTTTATATATTCTTAAATATCGTTGTGATGAAGCATTTGCAGCACCAACAACATCTGGTATGACAAATACTGCTTCACCAGTATTATGTCTTACACCAGGAACTTATGGAATTCCTGTACCAAAACAAAAACCTGATGTAAAAGTATGTCAACAACGATTTTTTGAATTATGTACACTGGTAAAAACTTTTTTTTTTTGAGTAAAAAGTTTATGTCGAATAGCTTATTAATTCTTTACTATAGACAGACCATACACCACGATATTTAGCTGCTTTAGCTGGTTCATTTTTTGTTGTTATGGGTTTGGTAAGAATGATTATTGTTGTTGTTTTATTAGATAGAATTTTAAATAAAATATTATTTTAGATTCATTTTCTTTGTTCTCTTGTCGCTAATTATGCTCATATAAAAGATGGTCGAAAATTGTGCGATTATGAAGAAGCAATCCGTGAAGAAATTGAAACATCAAAACTCCATCGTGGCTAAACAATATTATTTGTTAAATGAAATTTATTTCTTCTTTCCTTTATATTACATTGAATGCGTAGAAAAATCAATTTTTTCTCAACTTTTGCTGTTTTTTGTTGTTATTTTATACATACTTCATTCTTATTTATATGAGTAGTTTTGTGTGAATTCAATCGTTCAACGAATAATGATATACGACTTGTCAGATGTATAAGTCCTTTTCACAAGTTTTGTGTAATATTTGTGTGTATTTATATAATCATGTTGGTTCTCAGGTTTTTTTTTGTTTATTAGCTTCAAGCTTTTTTCTTCGGAAAACAAGTGCCTTTTCACTTGACTTGTATATGAATATTGTCTTATCTCTCTTTATACTGCTCGTTTGTCCTATTAAAGTGAATGAATAAACATACAGTTTACTTTTCGGAATATAATATAATTAGTATAAAAAAAAAGTACATTGTGGATATATAGTCTACATGTTGTAGATTTACGTTTTGGATTTCTTTTGCTTTCCATTAATTCAAATAATTTATTCGTATGTTTGAAGCGATTATAGCTGCATTACTAAAAGGTTATGTTGCCCGTTATGTTGATATAAATGCTGATCAATTATCTGTGCAATTGCTCTATGGTCGACCAATTGTTGTGGAAAATTTAACATTTAATAAAACAACACTTAATAATGATATTCGAAAAAAATTAAAATTACCTATTGAAATAGAATCCTTACATGTTGGTAAAATTCAATGTTCATTTGTATGGAGTTCATTATTTTTTCGTTCATCGTCACCAGCATTAACTATTCTAGTTGAACATGTTCGTGCTATAATAAAACCAATTATTCTTGATGACAATGAAAATCAAACAGAAGAATTTGTTGAAGAAAATGAAATAGTTAAAAAACAAAATCATTTAGATTTATCTGAACAACAATTAGAAAAAGAATTTGAATATCTCGGTGAAGTTAAATCATCATCATGGAGTTTAAAACGTTTAATATTATCATTTTTAGAAAAACTTCAAGTACATATTATTGATGTACATATTAGTTATGAAAGCTTTACATCTGATAATAATCCATATACAGTTGGATTATCATTTGATGATATTCAAATATCAAATGAATTATCAAATGAAAATATGAATAGAAAAATATTTCAAATACATAATCTTGCACTTTATATTGATTCAAATACAAATAAAGATAATTCATCAAATCATTCATATATTCTAATACCATCAAATTCAATAAAAATTTATTTAACACATAATTATATACGTTCAGCACTAATTAATCGACAACAACCACGTTATGAACTTGAATGGACATTTAATGATTTAAGTTTAAAATCAAGTATTGAACAAATACGTATTTTATCAGATGTTATACGTTTTATTCATTATGCAAATACACATAGAAAATTTATTAATGATCCAAGTAGACCAACTAAAAAAATATTAAAACATTCAGCAAAATTATGGTGGCATTATATAACATTAGTTATAATACGTACACAAAATTATTTAAAAATTCCTATATCAAATGAACAAACACATACAACAACTAATTTTTGGTTTAATTCAATTCTATTAAATAAACGTTTAAAACAATTATTAACATATAAACGTTTATATCGTTTATATCTTGATAATAAATATTTAAAACGTACAACAACTAGTTCTTTTACGTCAACAGATCGTTCAACTATGAATGAAATTGAAATGGAATTTGATCTTGATTGTTTAATTAAAATTCGTCGAGTTATATTTCGTAAACGTGCTAATGAACAATTTTCTTTAATTAATAATAATAAACAACAACCAACAAATATTGAATCAACAAGTTCATGGTATATGAGTTATGCAAAATGGATTAGTTCAAAAACAGTTGATTTATGGAAAACAACAACACCAACAGACATTAATCAAGCAATTATTTCAACTGCAACACCAATCATACCATTAAATGAAAATGATAAAAAATTACAAGAACAAGTTAATACATTTATAGCACAATCATTAGAAGATGAAGATTTATCACAAAAACGTCGAGATGCTCTATATTTACGTTTAAAATTTGTTCTGAAATCTGTACAAATTGATTTATTATCTGAAAGTGATATTATTTTTCATTTTTCATTAAACAATGTATCAGTATTAACAGAATTAAGACCAAGATATCAATCTATACTTTTCTATTTACGATTAGATGATTTAAATATATCTGATCGTTTAAGAACAGATGCATTTTCAAATATTGTTTGTCCTAAACAAAGATCAAACGAGTAAGTTATTGAACAGTCTCTAATAATATCTATTTGAGTAAAGATTTTTCTTATGATTACTGATAGAAATTATAATAATATAGTTTTAAAAAGAGGGCAGTAACAGACTTCTTCAATCTCGACGTCTTAAAATTTCATGTCGTCTAACGAGAGAAGTCCTTCAACTGATAAATTACTATTGAGTCGAGACTGTATGAATAACGAAGATTCAAATGAGCTATGAATACCCTGAAGAGTTCATGTTCTAAGCTTATTGCGGCGGAGATACTGCACTTTTATGGTATTTTTTAAATGAATGTCGTGATAATAGAAAAACTGATTTTTGAATTTCGACTTGAAACTTTGCACAGAGACAAGCTTTAACAAGATTAGTTTATTATGAAAGTTTTAGATCTTTTTTTGATTTGTGTCTATCCTAAAATACGAACATAAAATCTGCCAATTTATACAAGTAACGTAAAAGATAGACGATGACCATAGCGGTATCTTAGAATAGGAACAGTAACAAGATCTATAACATTGACAAAAGACTACGCACTCGTTAAAGTCTGTCTCTATGAAAATTTTTAAGTGATAATTCGAAAAATTAGTTTTTCTGTTATTACGGCGCTCGTTTAAAAAGTCCTGTAAGACTTCAGAATCTCCGTAGCAATAAGCTAAGGCCATGAATTCTTTTCATGATATTCATAGCTCATTTGGATCTTCTCATTGTCTCAAACTCAAAAGCGATAATATCAGTTGGAGAACTGTCCTTGTAAATTTTGAGATTTACATCTTTTTGAGAACTTTTCTATTTTGTATTGTGTATTTCTTCATGTAAATAAACGTGTGAACGCATCGTATTATTTGAGTATCAGTAAACAAGTGTATTGGTTTTCCTATTGTGGAAATTAGAAATTAAGAAATTCGCAAGGCGTATAAAGTTATCTTGATGTGGTGAGGGATCTTTCACTCTGATATAGATATCACGGATAACAATACTACCGAAGTTAGAAAAAAAAGATCATTGTTGAGAGTAAGTTTTATTTTTCAATTTGTCATTTAAACACAGACAAAACGGGATAAATACTTTTATTAACATTGTCGTATTTATCATATACCGGGTGTTCCAAAAGTTTTGCAACATTTTGTATTTTGCATTTATCTCGACTTGAGAAAATGATAAAATCTTGATGTTTTTCTTAAAAGATGCACCGTGAAAAGCTCTACAAAAACTGTATAAAGAAATCTCTATTAACTGGTTCTGATGGGTTTCCGATGCTTAATACGAACAACCTACATGGTGGCGATATGTCCCANTATGACCGTTTTACTGAAATTTTTACTGTGAGCCAGGCATTTAGGGAAAAACCAAAATGAAGAATTTCGATCTGAAATTTTATCTATAGATAGATTTAATAGTCATTAGATAGTTCTGAAAGTTTCAACGAAAACGAACATGCCTTTCTCAAGTTATTCAATTTTCAAAAAACCAGCTGTTTACCATAGGAGGGCACAATAATCCAGTTTAGTTGGACATTGAATACCTCCAGAAAGACATGATCGTTGTCGTTGAAACTTTCAGGACTATCTAATGACTATTAAATCTATCTATAGGTAAAATTTTAGGTCGAAATTCTTCATTTTGGTTTTTCCCGAAATGCCTGGCTCACAGTAAAAATTTCAGTAAAATGAGCATAAATCTTCACCGGTAGACCGTGGACACGAATCCTTTTAAGCTTTTTCTTATCTCAATACACTCTATCGAATGAGGTATGAATGAATCAAAACGGAGCGGATCACTTGGGAATGTTCCCTCGTAAGTATACATTGACAATAAATGATTTAAAATGAGAATTGTATGTTTTTATTCATAATTGGAACAATGACTCATCAAAATTATTACTTAAACAATCAAAATTGAAACTTGATAATAGTATACATAAACTATTTTTTTTACCAATGTTTCGAACATATGATATAATTTATAAAAGACCGAATGTGTCTATTAAGATAAACATCATTCGATGCAAATAGATTAATTTGGCATAATCTGTGTGGGATTAGTTTCTGACGTCATCATGAAAAACATCTGAACATTTCAGTCAGAATATAAAAGATTAGATTAACTTTAATTTTGTAACATATTTTAAATTAATTATAACATGTTTTAGCGTTGTCTAATCTGTAATCCAAATCAACGAATATCAGCAGCAGATGCTCTTCAACATCCATACTTTTCAGATATTCAATCGGTCAATTAGTGGAATTTTTTGTGGTGCATTTAATTAGTCAATAAATGAAGAAAAATACATATTTACTTGATACAAATCTTTGTTATTCGTTGTAAACGTACATATATAATTGCTCTCAGCTAGTTTTCATTCTTTTTTGTCATTGTGTATTTGTACGTGTTTTATTTCTCTCAAAAGAAAAAAACGAAATTTTGGCTGAAATTAAATTGAATCATAAAAAAGAAAATTTTTGCGTTTTTTTTTTAAATTTTATTTTTTAAATAATATCGGAAAGAGAAGAAAAAGAGAACGAGAGAAAAGTTGATGGTAAATGAAAAAAAAAAAAAGAATCAGTAGATTTGTTTCGCAGTGAATGAATAGACGATTAAACATAGTGATACATAAGCACGACAAGATGAAAAAAAAGAAAGAATTTTTAAATAGAATCTAACTACAAAGAACAGAAGCTGGAATGAAATGTGTTATTTTTTGTTGTTGTTCTTGTGTTGAATGCTTTGAAATGAATTTAAAAAGAAAAAGAATTTGAATAAGGAGAAAAACAATGATGTCATTTTAAAAGTTAGTCAGATCTAAAGTAAATATCTCCTTCCTTCAAGTGATATATACAGTAAATAAAATTTATTTAAATGTTGGATAATTTAACTTTAATTGGTAATGATTCTGTAACATCATAAGGTTGGTCATCAGGTTGAATTTTTTCTTTTTCATATGCTTCATAATCATATGGATGAAAAACAAGTTCTTGAGCACGAATTGATAAAGCACTACGAGTTGGTGTATGATGACAAAGTGACATAACCATATCTAAAATAAAGAAAAACAAAACAACCAATTGAAATTTTTTATATTAAAAAAAATCTAAAACTTACACCAAAGAATAGCTGATGATGAAAGAAAAATGGCAAGAAAGATCCATATTGGAATCTTTGGTTGTTTACGAACAAGATCATTCCATTCAGAACGAACATCAGTCATGAATTGTTGAAAACGATTCGGCATTGGTCCCATATGTTGATGATGTTCATGTGGATATTTTACAAAGTTTCGAAATTCATTAATTAATGGTGCTTTATCATTATCTTCACTTGATGAATCAGGATTAGTATTTATTGGTATACGAATAATTGGAATATTTTTTGGTAATTCTGATATTGATTCAAAACCAGGAAGTTTTGGAAGTTCTTTTGAATTTTCTTCAAATGATTTACGAATAGCTTGTTCGAAATTATTTGCTCTATCTTGAAATTGTTTAATTATATCATTAAACATCTGAATTGGATCATTGTTAAAGAACTGATGCATAGATGGCATTGGCATTGATGGTAATTCCATTGATGGACGTTGACGAAGACGTATAAGAATAATTGAATGTGGGCGTTCTAGTTCTACATTAGCCTGCTAAAGTATAATGATAATTAATTTTAAATTAAGATATTAATCTTACTGGAACTGGATCGACAACAATGGTAGGCTTTTTTTCAATCGCTGGATGACTTAAAGTACAACCAACCTGACAGCAAGCTTGTATTTCTTCATCTTTTGAAAATGCTTTACATTGACTTGCACAATCTTCATTGTGTAACTTGAAGTCACAACCTAAATTTAATTAAGAATTAATTTTGAATCAATGTCTATTTTTTCGATAATTAAATTCAATATAAACAAACCTTTTCTACAAGCATCCAAATGATTTGTACTAGCTGCATAATTCGAATGACAACCTGAATAACAACTGTTTTCAGTTCGAAACAATTGTTCGACTAGACCAGTCGCTGGCGATGATGCCAGTAAAATGGCAAAAACAAGAAGTTTTACCATAATGTGGGCGATGTATTTATTTAGGATTTTTTAATGAATAATTTAATATCTAATTTTTATAAAAAAAAACAAAATATAAAAAATACAACTCTAATTGCAACGAAATGCTGATTCGTCAAACCCTGTTGATGCTAGACAGAAGAAAAAAACAAGAAATAAACGAATAGAGAAGAATATCCGCTTGCACACACAGCGAAATAGGTAGATGAAGAAATGTTTTATTCTACGCAATAACTGTTTTTTTCTCGTATATTCGTTAAGGTTTTTTTTCTTCTTTTCTTTCTTCGCCCCACTTACCCTTTTTTTTCGGTAGTTCTTACTTTGCGTAAAAAAATATATGAAGAAAGAAAGAAAAAAAAAAGAAAATGGAAAATATTTTATTAGTCAACGTCTATTTTGATTTGCTTCACTGCTTTCAAGAATAAGAAAAAATGTAGCAAACTGATGATGATTGTCATGAAGACTCATCGTACAAACGCAAAAAAAAACAATCAAATGCGCATCATATCGACAACGTTAAAGTAAACAAAGAAGAAGAAGAAAGGAAAAAGAAAATGGAGAATGTCAAGTAAAAATCACAAAACGATGTTCTGTTTGATTATTTGTTTATTTCTGCTACTCGCTACTGATGAATCATTTTTATTTTTGTTGCTGCTGCTCCATCTATTGAATCGAGTGATTGATTTTAAAAACAAAGGGTTTTATGATTTTTCTATTGGTTATCAAAAGCTAAAAAGGTGAATGAATCAATAAATATTAATGAATGTAATGCCCAAAAAAGTTTTCGATAGATGTCATCCATAATTGCATAAACATATTTTCGAAAATCGTGATCAGCAAACACTCGATGAGTATCAATTTTGTATGTTGCATGACTCTAATTTTTACTTTGCTTTTCTAATTTGTATGTACAAAGTGTTCTAAAAGTCTATCCGTAAAAAGAATGTGAATAACTTTGGAAATATCCAAGCACTATTTCCTTTAGGTTTCTATGATATTATTCCATGTTTGTTAAAGTTTTGTTTCGCATAATTTCATTTGCGTCTACTGTTTGAAATGAGCTCATTGAACTGAAAAACGCGAGTTCGCTATTTTCGTTACTGATTTTTATTGCTATTTCAACATGATCTTTAATAGAAATTTCTGCAGATATAGTCTATCATGTGTTTCCACAAAAAACATTCGAACGACGCGCACTGACGTGGGCATGCAGCTCATCCAATAGAACCTTCTATTTGGGTCACTTCTATAGTAAGAAAAATTTTGTTCAGAAATAGATTTTCTTTATTATCGAAACCCGAAGAGGTTTTGCATTGTTGAAATATTTACTGATCTCTGCCAGAATTCAAAAAACTACTGAATAATCTTTGCAAGCAGTCAGGACACTTGATGTCGATACGCGTTCATTACCAACATAAGCTTCAGCGATTTGTTTTGTCTTCTGTGATTATTGTAAGACGTCCAGAATGTATATCCTGTCTACTACAATCTCAGTTCGATAAAAGCCTTGAGAGAACGCATCCTAATTCGACAGTTTCTGGTCAAAACTGATTAAAAGCCTTCTTTTCATAATCATAGATCATTCAAATTTAGCCCAGAATAAAACAAATTGTATTATAATGTTCATATGTGCAGGCATTTCATCTGAAATATGCTGAATAAAAATTGGATGAAGTATGAAGTCAAATGATGAGAGGAACATGTAAATCGATTAAGCGCTTGAAATTAAGTTACTGAAGTTTTATTTTTCAGTGGACATTTTGCACACCTTGAGGTTTTTTGCTATCAGATGAAATACACTTCTAAAAACAAACCACGTTTATTCTGTCTTCAGAGGAGATCATATGGAACCGAAAAAGATGAATATGTGTTAATTTAGTGAATTATTTATTAGATTAATTTTTAGAAATAATTAACAGAATGAAAGAGAGTGTATTCAATTTTCTCATTTGTTCACAATCATTTACATAAAGGATGAGGATGTGGATGAATATCTACGATGATATGCCATGGCAAGCGAGATAAACTCCCCACGAAGTTTTATTAACGTTAAATGTAAATTTAATTCATGTCTGTCGATTACCAGTCAGTTATTTTACTATTTATGCTCTATCAGTCTATTTCTCAATCACTAAGTAATTAAAAATCTATTTATCTTTATTTTCGACATCCTCTTATCCAAGAAAACAGTGATTTTCTGATGTCATTTATATGAATTTTCCTTTGAAACTTGTTTTATCGACTCGATATTGTTCAGAATGATTACCACTGTTTTCAGGATTGCTTCTTTTTATTTCATAACATTCATTGTTTATATGTTCTTGATCCACGATATCTTATTTCGAGAATCTACATAGAATATGCTTTATTTAATGCGAAAGACATAATAGAAAAAAATAATTAACTAAATGATTAGCTAAGTTATAATCATACCTAGATATTGAAATTCTGTTTAAATTATAAAACATTAGCTTGACAATAATTAGCAAGCAGAGTTACAATTGGTCGAAAACTGTTGAAACACTTTGTTCTGATCAGTTTAAAACGAAAAGTTTTTTAAATGGAATAAACAGTCGATTTATTATATTGTTTTTTATTTGATAAAAACTTTTGGTTTCAAAAAGAACCCTTTTTATACCTATGTTGCATGGATTTTTAAGATTGTTGGAAGAAAATAGATGGTCACATCATAGTGCTAAAAATTGGTAAGTTCTTCAAAAATTGACTAGTTATGTTTCTCCGTTTTCAGACAAAAATCCATACATACAAAAACTAGTTTTAAAGTTTGAGTTAGTTTTATTTTCTGTCGTAATTTTACGAAAGAAATCGATAATTTCGGACAGGAACTGTAAAAACCAAAAAATTCCTATTCTAAAACATAATATCAGTAGTTTGCATGAAGAAATCAAGATCATGTAATGTGTGTGGTTCACTTTTTTAAGACGTAACGAACAGTCTAATAATACAAAGAAAAAAAGGAGTTAAAGTGAATAAAAAAAAACTCAATTTAATCAGGATTATACTAGAATCGTACAGCAGATTGTCATCGGTAATAATGAAGAGATTGATTTTACCTTAAATAGAATTTTGAAAGAGTTTTTAGAATTTATCATGTGTTTTAAGTCAATCGATGAACAACAGAGAAGCACAAAATAAATTGTTGATCATATTAGGTTAAAGTTTAATCTTAGAAATAAATTTTCATTTGGTAATAATATCAAAATAATATTCGAAGTCATAGAATTAATCACAGGTGCACGAACACTTCCCCTTAACTTGAAAATGTTTTAGACAGTTTGTGACTTGGTTTTGACTTGTCAAGAAAACACAAGTCAAGTCAGACATATTTTTGCAGCTAAAATGCATATTAGATTCACATTACAAAAAGTTATACTTCTGTTCTAAAATAAAAATTCTATTCGTTGAAAATATTTGAACATAATTATTAGTCGATAACAATACTTGAAACAAAATACTACGGATCACCCACAATAATCAATACCAAAAGCGCGGAACTTTTTTTCTTAGACATTCAATAGAACAATATTAAAAAATTAAAAGTTGATAATACTGTATTTATTAAAGATACAATTGCTAATTATTCTAGTGATAATGATGATCATTCGAATAGATTTATTTTTAGTAATCGGTCGATTAAATACAAAGCATTGAACAAATTGACAAGAAAGTTTTGCCAGTTCCTGGAACGTCATCATCTGTAGAAAGAATAATTTCTCAAAGTGGTTTTCTATTTCGATAACACAGGATCAAACTGTCAAGAAAGACTCCACAAACGTTAACTATGCTGGAATAGAATCAAGGACTGACGTGAAACTTTTTTTCAGTAAATAGATACATAAATAAAGAATGAAACTTGAAAACGTTCAAGTCAATAATTGACTTGACGCCAAAATTTTTTTGAAATAAATGACTTGACTTGTGTCAAAGTAAAAACTGACGTGTCCATCTCTGGAATTAATTGTATTTTTTAATCAACATAATGTATTTTAAATTGAGAAATACTGTCAATTAATAAATTTAATATGTTCTTATTGAATAGGTGAATTATGATCTAGAAATTATTTTTTAATTTATATAATTTTTTTATCAATGCACTACGTATATACATATTTCAGTTCAGCTCTTAATTAATATAATGAAATCAAAGTCAACGAAAAATAATTAAATATTTATTATCTTTTGAAAAAAAAGTCAAATACAAAGTGCAATATCAATCATTAATTCTGTTTCACTAAATTCATAAATACACAAGCCAGTCCAACCAAGAAACATATGAAGATACGTGTTATTGCCAGATAATCTATTGTTATAAATTTTTGATTATCCTTATTGTTTACTTAAAAATCACATTAGTCTTATTAAGAAGTATTGTGTACTGTGATTTCTATTTTATTCTTTAAAATAGTGAGTGATAAATGTATTATTAATGAATTTCAACTCGTTGTGTATGCTATTGCTAAATGTATCAATACTTTTCTGTATCATTAGACATTCAATTGCTTTTAAAATTATGTATTGGAAAATAACTATGATATTATGAGGTTTGCTACTATATTGATACATGAAATGAATTAACGTAGTTTGAATTACAAATGCAATGATAAAACCAACAGTGAAGTCGGCGAATGCATGAAAAATCTACGGTGATGAACGGTCCATTAGCATCGCTGACTTCTCTTAGAAGAAAGGCGTCAAAAAACTGAAAAAAAACGGTCATAAACGTAGGTTCCTGATTCATTCATCTGCTCCACCGGTCTTAACGGTGATGCTTGAAAGTTTATCCCTAGGTTGAATTTGAGCCTGATTATTTATAATTGAAACAATAAAGACTTGACGAACGATTGTTTTTAATCTCGATAATTTATTATTTATCATCAGATAGATTTAGCAACATGGTAAATATATATTCACTATGGCAGGTGTACAAATAATAGAGTTTATAAAATTGAATCCTGTCTACTGTGATACAGTCAACATGC